TATAGTAGGTACACTTACATGCACATGCACATGTACATATACATTTATAGCAATAAAATTCTCATATCTGTTTTCTTTTACTTTAAACTCATGTTACTAACAATGTAAATGTTCACAAGTAAATCATAATTAATAAATTAGAACTGACTATTTTATAATGCATAACTTGTGTATTATAATAGAGTATAAAGTATATTATAATATGTACATAATATAAACTAACTATATTTTTTTATAAATAAACAAATGTTTTATTTAAAATGTAAATAGTATAGACCTAATATTGTATATATCTAAAACATAAAAATATTTATATCAGTATTTTTTTTTTGTTTTAATAGTCTTAAATTGATATATAAGTATGTTGTAATGTATTTTATCAACAGGAATAAATTGCACGTGCTTATATCAGACACCATGCCATTTCATTTACCAATTTGTGAAATTAATCCAAATCGCAACCTCCTTTCTACTTTACATAATTTTATGAAGGTAAAGTATTATTTTATGATAGATAAATTATGATACTTTGTAAGTATATAATAATTTTGTATTATAATTTAATTTAAAATATAATGTAATTTTGTATTATAATTTAAATTGTTTAGGAATTATTTGGAAATGGAGTTGCACAACATAAACCACATGGTATACTTTCCATAGAATTTAGTGGAGGACAAGGAGGAGATGGACTTTGTTTAACGTTATTAGTATCATTTAAATTACCTGTGGAAGACGTACCTGCTACAGGAAAATTCATTTGGCATGAGTTACCCGAAAATCTCGCGACAAGTATTACTTATCGTTTACCACGAAATATGACGGTGCCTTTAAATGTTATACGATGATTAAATATGCATAATGTACAAATGTACATTAAATATACACAGTGTAATTGCATTTCAAATTTTATATATACAAAATTAATTTATTTTTTCTTAAGAATAAGATAAAATATTCTAGGATTGGCACACCTTTAATATTTTAATTATAATTACTAAATTCTTAACTTTTAAATTATTGAAATCGAATTAGAAAATTTCTTATCACATCATGTTACAAAGAAATTTTATAATTGAACACAAAATACTTGGCATACACGTTTATACGCACGTTTATACGCATTCTAGATATATACAAACCAGATATACTCATTAATATCTAACAATTTCTAACTAAAACAATTTTTATGTTATACCTTTACATTTTTCCTAGTCTGTACCAATGACTTTTTAACAAGAATAAATATATAGTATACAACTTGCATACAAGTTAATAACATGATATTATTAATACTAATTATATATTATATATAAATGTATTTTGTTAGAGAAGCTATAGGCACTTTCAGTTAGTATCAAAAATTTTGCGAGATCTCTTTACTTGAATCAGAGATGAGAATAAAAATAATTTAGATAAATCTGGAAAACTGACTTTCTGAGATTAGAAATTTATTTTTATGTATTATAAAATATTATAAAAAAGTACTATTATTTGCATTCCAGATACACACACGTAAAGTGTATAAATGTAATAAATTTTCGAAATAACGCTCTAACATTAATATGCAAATATATTTGAAATTGTAAAATAATAGTCTAAATTCGAAAGGTCAAAATATATTAAATATACATCACATTATAGAGATATGTATTTAACTAATACTTAATAGAAAGTTTGAGATAATTTTTGATGTTTGAATCATATTTTTTAAAATTTTTGAAGTATTTAAATAGCTTAAGTAATTTGTAGTTTATATAATATTTATTAACAATGTGTAACTAAAATAAAAAATTAATTGTAATTTAATATATTTAAAACAATTTCTATATATTTTATAACAAATAAATCACTAAGTCAGTATTTAATACAAATTTATTTAATATTTCATTAAAAAGCACAGGGTATGTTAAGAGTATGAGTATGAAAACTTAGATTTATATATTAGATTAAATTAAAAAATTTTTAATATCACAAAATATAAATAAACATTTATAAAAAATCTTTCAGTTCCATCTTTAGCTTATCTTCTACATAACAATAGTAGAAACAAATTTTATAGAGATGTATATGTTTTTCAATACTGCATTGTTTGAAATATAATAAAAAGCGATTTTAAAATACTTAATTGAAATAACATAAACAATAAAATGAATAAAAAATTCAATAAAAAATTGTAATTTTTAAGTAATTTTATCGTATTATATAGTAATACATTCACAAATGCTTAATACGTAAAATTGCACATATTTTCAATTGTATTTGATGTGTCAAATATCAAACAGCTTTTACTTTTTACAATATAAAACTTATATGTAATTTCAAAAATATATATTTATATATCCATAATCATTAATCATTAAGAAATTTAAACTCTGATAATACATTTTTACAGCAATTATAATTATAAAATAAATCTATAAAAGTAGTGTCATTAAAGTATTTATTAGTACTTAAGTTGATGTTGGTGTTAAAACACCAACTGCATTTATTAATTCGTCATCATTACTTTCATTCTTTATAGGAACAATGTTATTTTCAATAGGCATCGGTTTAATATCAGTACTGTGGGTCAGTGGTAAATTATTGAATGAATTTATAGATGTAGTATTACTGAGATTTGCAGCACATACTGTTTGCTTTACATTGTTTTCACATTGTTTAATGCTAGTGTTAATATTTACAATATGTTTTTTCATATGAGTTGTTAAATTGCCACTATGATAAAAATCCTTTCCACAAACCTTACATTGAAATGGTTTAATTCCAGAATGTATCCTCTCATGTATTGATAAATTGCCACTATGTCTAAATTCTTTACTACATATAGCACATTTATATGGTTTTATACCTGAATGTGTTCTTAAATGAGTCGATAAGTTTCCACTGTGACTAAACATTTTTCCACAAATTTGACAACCATAAGGTCTTTCACCAGAATGTGTCCTCATGTGGATGGCTAAGTTTCCACTGTGGGTAAAACACTTTTCACATTGATTACATTTATAAGGTCGTTCTCCACTATGAGTTCTCATATGTATAAATAAATTACTTTTATGTCCAAACTCTTTAAAGCATATTTCACATTGACATTTAAGCTTTTTTCCTATATTTGAATCTGAAGAGCTTTTAGGTGGTCTTCCAGGACGATTAGATTTTATAGGAGATACAGGCTCAGAAATTATTCCTATTTGATTTGTAAACTTTGCTGCCTGCATATTTTGTGAAAATTGTGACTGTCCAGCTTTTTGGGTCATATCTATCTGACATTGTTGATTCATTTGATTCAAATTTCCTCCTTGATTAACTTGAAAAAGTGTATTATTTGGTACACAATTTTTCATATATGCTAAAGAGGTATTTCCCTAAAATATTTTGTTTGTTAATAAAATGTTACATAAATTTAAAAAAAATTATATATAATACTTATTAATACTTATTAATAATTATAATATTATAATATTGTAATATTTATATAAAACTCACTTCAGATTGAAATAAATTATATTGACCATGAATTTCATTTTTTGGATGTATATCATTGGATAACTGTGCATGATTCCAAAATTGTGATATTTCATATTTACAATCAACATCTTCCTCAATAAATGTTTGATATTTGGAATTGTTTGAAATATTAACTTTATCATCTGAATTGACATCTTCTATTCCCTCACATTCATGTTTTATTTGTACAGGATTAAACATCTACAGATGTATATTAGAAAAGAATTAAACATCTACACATGTATACTAGAAAAAAATTGTAATTGACATTTTTATATTATTTATTAGAATTAAATATTGCTATATTTTCCAAAAGAAGGAATCTAATAAACATCATGGAATAATTATTTAAAAGATAAACAACTAAACATTTAAAATTCGTGTAAAATACACATACATTTTAGAAAAAATATTTTAGGATTAATATCCACTGTGCTATAACTTGCAATTTTTCATAATTTGATCAAAAAATCGATTTTAAAAGAAACAACATGACACTATCACTTCATCACAGCTATATTTTATACATATATACGTGTAATGAAATAATTATTTATGAATATTTTTTAAAATATCATCTAATACATTTAGGGTGTTGTTTTATTAAGTTATATTAGAGAGTTGAATTTGTTTCATAAATAATATAAATTTATACCATGACACAGTGCCATCTAAGAAAATTATGTTGTCTTGTGAAAAGATACACTATTTAATTTTCGAATTCAATAGAAACTAAGTCTTCTAAACATTTTTAAACTTTAAAAAGATTTAATTTAAGTTGGGATCATATTTATATATACATAAAGACTATTGACAATACTTTTTTTGATTCATTATGTACATATTCATTGTGATAAAAATAATTTTTTTTTTCAATCTAAAATATTATTTATTATCCTTTACAATTCTTATGTTATTGATTATAAACTATTACTTATAATAAATTATATATTATATATGAAAATATCTACAAAATCTGTAATTTGCATATGAAATCAATAACATAATACAAGTAAGGTATAATACATAAAAGTAAAAATCAAATATATTGTATATAAATGAAAAAAAAGAATAAAACATTCCTGGTTTAATCTTATTTATAAAATATATTGTAATTATATAATCATATACATATATAATTTAATACACATACAAGTAGACTAAGCTAATTAAACATATATGGTCTAACAGACACGAAACTAGAAGTTTAAAAAATTTAAATTGTTCAAAAAATTTGAGAATTTTTTTATTAAACTTTAGACTTTCAATAATTTATATAAATGCTAAAAGATGAAAAATATTTGTAATTGTATATTTTTTAGTAAAATTTATGACTGATTTATTTGCATATAGAGTGCGCTGTGTATTACCATGTCATGTTTCACTTTAGGAATCCTATTTTGTATTTCATACATTTCAAGATACGGTGAACAACTATATACGTTGTATACAAAACAAAAACGTAAACATTTTGTACCAAATAATTTTGGATATATTTAAAAATATATATACAACATAGAAAGTTATATATATCCAACAATTTATTTTTTTCCAGTATTATAATTTTGAACAAAGTATGAATAAAAATAAAAGTTTTGTGATGATATTAAATCAAAATATATTGCCATAAAATTTATTTAATTGAAAAATCATGAATTAAAATAAATTCAAAATGTATAAAGATAATAATACATTGAAGTGATTTGAGTAACTAAATTGAAATGTAAAGTTATACATTATGCCTGGTGGAAGACGTAATGCTGCTAATAGAAATGGACAGATCAAATCTCAAGCTAATTTTTCTGTATCTTCAAATATTGGTATACGAAGTAATAGCGGAGAAAGAACAGCTGGAAGTGGTGCAGATGACAAAAAGTCAGAAGAATTTTGTGGAATAAAAGCACCAAAACATGTACCTGTACCACCTGTACCTGTGGGTGGTCATTTAACTTTTGAAGCTTTGTCTTTAGTTGTGTCAATTATTGCAGCTTCTTTACAAATGCTTAATTTATATAGAACTGTTTGGTGGTTACCTCATTCTTATAATAATTATAGTATGGTAAGGTGGTTTTAAAATATCTTATATTACTTTATATCATATTTGACTTCTTCATTATAACATATTTTTTAAAACTATATATAACCATTCATGTCTTATAAAAACATAGAATTTTAAATTTTTCAGAATTTCTATTTAATAGATCCTTATTTACTTATATTTATTATAACTATGATTGCAAGACAATTTATTTATTCTTTATTGCGTTGGGTTATTGATATTTCATCACCAGTTCGTTGGTTATCTATTGCTCAAAAAATGATGAGGTATGAGTTTTACTATAAATTATATAAATTATACAAATATGTATTTAAGATAATTGTAATTAAGATAAATATGTATTTAAGATAAATTATGTTTCAGGATTATTTTGCTGATCATTGTGATGACTATACTGAGTTGGTGCCTCTATCGTATGGCTGAAAGGCATAACTCAATAAAGATTTTTTACTTATGTTATCCGTTTGTATTATTTTATTCAATCGTAGTTATTAATTCTAATATGATATATCAACATATTATACATATCATAAAATATAATTATATAAATATATATAATAACATAAGAATGTTTATTATTTCAGAAGTTTATCTGTATATTTTGTAATGTTTGGTGTAAGTGCAATACCTTTCTTTGATATATCAACAACATCTTTATATAGTAAAGATGAAAAGAAAAAGTTTCTGATTGGTATATAACTTGTTATATAACTATTTATATTAATAACAATAATTATATTTTCTAATTGTTGAATTCATAGATGTAAAATTTTGATTAAACCTTTTTTTGCAGACAAACCTTTACATAATTGTTTATTAAACGCATCAGCAGTCAGAGCAGAAGTTTCAACATTAAGATCGGATTTTAATCGACGTCTGAAACGTGTTTTGTTCGCATCTTCTAGTAGTGCTTATGTATGTGGTATAACACCCATTATATTTGTACCTCAACATTTACATTTTAATGTTTCATGGGTTGTGCAGCATGTTATTCTGTTCTGGCTGGAAAGAATAACTGCTCATTTTTTACATGCTTATCCTGTGAGGTATGCATTTATATAATTATGCATGTTGTATAATATTGCATTTCGTATTAATTTTATAAATTCTTTAATAGTATATATCGTATTAATTCGAGAATGTATAAATATGAATGTTGTATTGAAAAATTCATTTGCAGAAATTTGATGAATACCATAATTATTTAGGTACTGTGACGTTTTGCATAGAGCAGCATTACATCTAGGTCGATGGGTTAAAATTGAAAATCGCAATAGTCATACCTATGCTCAAGCCTGGAATGATTCTGTTTTGTGGCCTCATGGTTCAATTGTGAGACATAATAAGGAAATTTATCGTTCAGAAGGTTTATGTACTGTAGCAGAGCCAGGGAATATAGGTCATTATAGATTTTATGTACGTGATAAATAATAACGTATTTCCTTATAAATTCTACATATGAGTATATTGCGAAATTAACATATTTCAATTATTTTGTGCAGGCTATATTTAGTAATCCCACAGTGTTACTTTGTTCATTGTCGTGCTTGCAGTTTCTTCTTGTTTGTGCACAATTATTTATTTTATTACGTACAACCGATTGGTATCAAGTGTTATCAATAACATTACTTCTTATGATCAACTACTATACTTTATTTAAAGTTACTAGAGACTACCTTATTTGTTGTAAGATATATCACGCCGAACAAATAATACGAGAAAAGTCGAAAATAATTGCAAATTCTACTGTTCAATAAAAAAATATTTAAAATATAAAAAGTTGGTGTTAATGTATTTACTCTTCCTTCATTATCATTTTAACTTCATTTTATAATTTATCAATCTTACTAATTTATAGATTTATTTTTATAGGAAATACTAAATTAGAATAATGAAAAAACATTTTAAACAATGTTAAGAATATAAAGAAATAAAAGAGATAAAATGCAAATTAGTAAGTAATTGAATCATTATATGCATATGTATATTATATATGTCATTTGTTTATAGATATTTATACAAATATTTATAATTCTATTTTATTTAAACTGATTTTAGCTTTATAATTGAAAATTATAATATAGTTTATAATATTTGAGATTACCGGAGTAATGAAATATCAGAGTTCTGAAGAAATTACTGCAATATTGCCGAAACATGAGAGAATTTTCACTTGAGCATGGCTTACAGTTGGAAATCTCAAATGTTATAAAATGTGACATTAAAATTGCGAAAGCTTCGAATTTTTGAAGATAAGTATATTTGAAATGTTATTTGAAGAATTACAAAATACTTTGTGACTTGGATACTGTTGCAATACAACATTGTAACATCACATTACTTATGTAATACTACAATACAATATTTAAAATATTATTTTCAAAAATACATATGGTTTGTATCAAAAATTTTCAAATAGTATTTTAGTTATAAGATAAATTTAATCACTACGAAATACGAAAGAGTCATAAAATAATAGTAGATAATAGTAGATAAATAAAGGTGTAGAAAAACAAAATAAATTTCATTTGAAACTTTTTTTGAATGACAAATAATTTAAAAAAAAATTGCGTATAAAAAATTAAGTGGGACATATCTTATATAGTTTTCTAGCATTTTAAACAAAATTTACTTTGTTTCAGAGAATATTTGGCTACATATGAGATTTCAAGGCTTTTTTGAATAAAATTACATATTTTTATCTAGTTATGTATTATCAGATAAATTTATTGTTTTATAATAATTTAGAACAGAAATAAACGAAACAATTGTATCTTCGTACAATGTTGAGAATATCTTTTCCTCTTTTCTGTTTTCCTCATATCTTTGCCGAAAAGTCTGCAAATCAAATATAGTTATAAATTAAAATACTTTTCTGTTTTCATTTCCTCATATCTTTCCTGAAAAATCTGTAAATCAAACATAGTTATAAATTAAAATCTTTTTTGTCTTGAATGAAATGCATGTATTTTTAATACCATCACTTTATCTTATCATCGAAATTCACAAAATTGATTATCTTATCTTATTATTGAAGTTTACAAATTCATTTTTTGAAGAACTTAAATATGTACAATGCATGTGCATAATATGTATACAGCTGTGGTTACATGCATTTTAAATAGATGGTATATGGCCATTTTATTGAGGGTTTAAAAGATAAAATAACAGTCAATGTGTTATATATAAGACCAAAGAGGAAGTATAGAATAATGTGATTCGTATCCGTTATCACGATGCATTCTATTTGGAAAATATTTTTACTTTTCGTGTTTTTCTTTGATGGTACGAATTTTTTAAAAATATTTGACATTTAATTGCTTAATATTTATATGTTTACATTATAATTCACATTAATTTTTATTCGTAAATGATATTTCTGTATTTTTTATATTTTTTATAGTTTACAAAAGCGAATTAAAAAATATTTGTTTTTCATATTAAGTACTAAAAAATGAAATATAATTATTGTAAATCCCAAGTTTCTTGCATCATATAAGAGAGGCGTAAATGGCTCTTAAATCGCGTAATTTATACATGTGTAATTATTATTATTATTATACGGACTTAAAATACAATTTTCAATATTTTTATATTAAAATTTATTTATAGTGAAGAGTCAGTGTTCTGAGAGAACTAGACCAGTGACTGGTTATGTCCCCGGAGTGGCTGGTATGTCTTCAATAAATGAGACAAACTGTGTGAACGATGTAATTCTCGAGAATTCTTTTCTGTCAAATCCTGTTGAGTGTGCCCGCCCTTGTTCTGAATCGGAGACACCGAAAACATGTTACTATCATTTCGTAATTGAACGTTATCCAGTTCAGAGTGCGTAAGTATGTCTTAAGAAAGTTACAATTGAACATTTACAATTAAATAATTTAAACATTTCATAAATGTTAGAAATTCATTAAGAATTAAATTCTTTTTTCATTTAATCATTCAACATTTTTTTCTCGATATAATTGCATTGTTATCGCGATTTGTAATTGTGAAAGATACTTTTTTAAATCTCTTAATCTCTTAAGAGATTTAAATATTTTTGTTATAACACATTCTCTTTCCTTAGAGCCTGTGACCTTTGTACTCCCGAGACTGCTACTAATTCGATTTGCGCCGATTGTCAATGCGTGCCAGCCGATGGAGTACCGCGAATGGCTTTAACTGTAAATAGAATGATGCCAGGACCAAGTATACAAGTTTGTTTAGGAGATCTTATTGTGATAGATGTTACAAACAAAATTGCGGAAAACGCAATAACGATCCATTGGCATGGTGTGTTCCAAAAGGATTATCAATATTACGATGGTGTACCTTTTGTAACTCAGTGTCCAATTGTATCTGGTTCTACCTTCAGGTATCTTTCCAACTGATCTTAAAACATGTATACTTTAAAATATGTACAACAATGAAAATTATGTCTTTTTCTTTTAGATATCAGTATGTGGCAAATAATCCTGGTACTCATTTTTACCATGCTCATACAGGATTTAATAAGATGGACGGAGTTTTTGGTACTCTTGTCATACGGACTCCAAGGGAGCAAGACCCTAATAGAGAATATTTCGACACTGATTATTCAAGTCATGTAGTTATTATTAGCGATTGGATGAACGAAGAATCTACAGAACGGTTTCCAGGTCGTACGGCTAACGGTACTGGTCCGACCGGCCAACTACCTAATTCTCTATTAATTAACGGAAAAGGGCAAACAGTAAATATGTT